GTCACCATGTTTTATGGCTGCGTGTTCAGTTGGATTTTGCTGCTTGGACATGGCCATTCTGTACGTGTCTGTTTCTCTCTGTTTCTCTTTCTATTCTGCACGTGTGGGTGCCTTCAAGCGTTAGCTGGAGCTGTGTTTCTGGGTTCGTGAGACTGCAGCATGCATGCAGACGGCGAGGAAGAGTAGCGGTATGTCAAGACAAGGAATGTTTGTTGTTTGTCGAGTGACAACAAAGAAAGCCAACAAAAGCAACAGTGCAATTACAAAAAGCACAACAGCAATACGCGCTGCGTGCAGCTACAAAGCCAAAAGCTCAGCAAAAACAAAACCAAAAAGGCAAAAATCCCCTCGCTACCCCCCGACGATTTCATATAACATTTCTCCTCAGGTAAGATATCTCCTCAGGTGTAATTCTTCACCCGCGGGATATCCCAAGGCCCGCTGATCTCACTGCAAGCGAAGCGCACAAACAGCAGAGACAGCTGTGTTGTTGCAGCAATGAAGTGTACAGACAGCACTGACTGTTGCAGCAACGCAGTGTACAGACACGCCGCCGAAGCAAAGAGCAGCAGCACTGATAGAAACCACAACGGCCGAGCAAAACTCATACACCACATAATACCAAAATGACAACTGTAAGCAGCAGCTACAGCCACAAGAAAAACAACAGCAGCAAAAGTTTCTCACTTTTTGTATTTCTGCGACCTAATGAGCCAATACGGCCCGACAAAGGTGATGAAGAACATCCTGCAGTAACCACACAAAGAAGGAAACAACAAAATACAGAGCATCGCCAAACAGCTACAGACGCGTTCTCATTGTTCTAGCCGCTGCTTGTAGTTGTTGTTGTACTGTTCTGTTGTTTTACACACAAAGCAACTAAGAAGGTTCTCGAACCCTAAACCCTAAACCCTAAACCCTAAACCCTAAAAGAGCTGCACAGACACCTCTGCAGCGGGGAGAGGCTCTGCGTTGCTCACAGGAAAAGGTACAGCAGCACGTTGCTGCCGGATCCCTCGATATACACCAGAGCAGAAGTCAGCAGAATTAAAAATGGAGTCACCACGTATGTGCAGGCCCACGAATTCCACAGCTGCAGCATACACCCCAACAAAGCTGCTATTTCCGCTAAGCACATCTCTACCCCTATGCTCCTGAACTTTCACAAATATATATATATATATATATATA